ATCACGGCCAACGTCTCGCCGGCGTCGCGCTGCGCCTCGGTCTCGCCGACGCAGACGACGGGGGTGAGCCCGGCGGCCAGGGCGGCGCGCGTCTTGGCCTGCACCGTGGCGTCATCCTCCGCATGATCGTGACGCCGCTCCGAATGGCCCAGGATCACGTAGCCGCAGCCGATGTCGGCCAGCATGGCGGCGGCGATATCGCCGGTGTGCGCGCCGGACGGCGCGCTGTGGCAGTCCTGCCCGCCGAGCGCGATGCCGCTGCCGGCGACCGCCTCGCGCAGCGGCCAGAGCAGGGTGAAGGGCGGGCAGACCAGGAGGTCGCAGGCCGGCGCCGGCGGATCGCCGTAGTCGACCGCCTGCTGCAGGCGCTGGGCCAGCGCCTCGGCCAGCTTCATGCCGTCGGCCGACAGCCCGTTCATCTTCCAGTTTCCGGCGATCAGCTTGCGCCGCATCGGCGCGCCCTCCCCCTTCCAGTTGGTGCCAGCCAGCTCACGGTGTGGCCGCAGGGCTTAGCACGAGCGGCGCCGGCCAGACCAGCCGGCCGCGGGGGCGGCCCGCCGGCGTTCCTCGACAGGCCCGGCGCGCTCAAGCAGGGTGCGCCGCGGACAGGCCCTCCGATCCAAGCGGTTGCGGCGATGGCGACCGTCCGACAAGGCCCCGCAAAGCGATTTCTTCGCAACGGCATCTGCTCTAGGATTCGCCGCCCGAAACACCAGCAGCCCGAAACACCAGCAGACTGTACGGATCTCAGACCCCATGAACTTCCTGCGCGGCATCGTCGCCAAGGTCTTCGTCTACGTGCTCTTCGGCCTTCTGATCGTCAGCTTCGCGATCTGGGGGATCGGGGACATCTTCCGCGGCACCTCGGGCACGCCGACCGTCGCCAGCGTGGGCGACCAGGAGGTCCAGGAGGCGGAGTTCCGCCGCGTGCTGGCCCAGGAGTACAGCGCCCTGCGCCAGAGGGTGGGCGGCCAGCTCGACCCCGAGATGGCGCGCGCCATCGGCCTGCCGCAGCAGGTGCTCAACCAGCTCATCGTCTCCGCCCTCTTCGCCCAGCAGTCGGACGACCTGGGCTTGGCCGTGACCGACGAGACGCTGCGCGCCGAGATCGTCGCCGACCCCCGCTTCCAGGATTCGCTCGGCACCTTCGACCGCAACCGCTTCCAGGCCTTCCTGCGCAACCAGCGCCTGA